TCAATAAGACAATCTATCATGCAATGTGCCTAATGGTCCTTGAAAGCTAGCTTGTGTGGTTTGAATATGGGCGTCGACTTGAAATTTGTGTCGTATACAATGACTGATCTCTTGCTAACGACTATTTCAGTCCTTTATGAATATACGTCTCAAGTCGGACTAAGTGATATATAGCGTTCTGTTTTTTATGAAACTGCAATGAAATGTCGAAAAAAATCTTTTTCTTGAAAAGACAAGATCAAGCGCTTAACCACCATTCGTCCAGAAAGATTCCTGAGGCAGTTAAAGGGCGCTATTGGGCGATGGTTCGGTGGATTTCTATGGTCGTTTCCTGGTTTTAGTGAGAACGATTGAACCACTCCTCACAGGAAAAATATATTTAAGGAAAAACAGAAAAAGGATAAATGTTCCAAAAAAACACCGCAACTTTCTTAAGATTTAGGATTGCCCCTAGGGCGTTCACCTGTCCTTGCACCTGTGCTTGTACTGCAACGTGCACGAAGTACACGTTGCAATCTGTGGGTCCACATCATATCGGCTTTTGAGTGGTCGTGGCAAACAAGCTACGCTTAGGGGTGAATGAGATGTAATCAATGGAGCGCATATGCACTCTTGTGAGACGCACAGAGATTCAGCAGAAATACAGTTAGCGTTTTTCCGGCTGAAAATAACGGCATCACAGATACATGTTGTACTCTGCATTCCGGTTTGGCTATCTGCAGTTTCATCCGCACGCCACTTTGGCGTTGAACACAGCAACGCACATAAACATTTCAAGCACGCAACATGGATAGCTGATCACTTACAGTGGCAATGCAGACTTACAGAATACTGAGCACTGTCGGCCCCGCGCGCAGGTACGGACCGAGCACGGCCGGCCTCGTCCACAGGTAGAGACCGAGGTCGGCGGAATGTAGACAGGCACGGACCGAGCTCGAGTATCTGGTGCGTATCTAGCGCATCTAGTGCAACAAAAATAAGCGCAGCGGACAGCAGACTCGCCACGCTCTCCGCTCGCACCACCGGAGGCGGCGCGGCCACGGGATACAAGGCCGTATAAGATCGAGGTGCATTGTGATGGCTTGCCGCTTAATATTGCCACATACATAATCAAATTCGTCGTTAAATTCTACGTAATCAGCACGCTGGGCACACGCATCTGTCACCAACAGCTTGTTCGTTACAGCCACGAAGGCAGCCTGATGTTCCTGACGCCTTATTGCGAGAACAGGTCTCGTGTTTACGTCTTCACTTTTCATGTCATTGCGTTAAAATGGGCAGTCACATGGGGCTGCGAACAACACCATGATATTCGCCATAAGCTTATGTGCAATCGCTTCGCTTGTCATATGCATCTTCCGCCGACGGTTACTTCATACCTGTAGGGATGTCTCGGCATTCCTGTTGTCTCTCAGCATCACGCCCGTCGGAGCGGACGTAATGCTGAGGACGTCTAACGGTCCGCTGGCTAGACGGGGCTAGTGGCCTGCCGCGTATTGGAGCATCGGCACCAGTGACGTCACGCTGACGTTGCGCGGATATGAAACGAAAATCGCTGGACGATTCACCCCTCGTAGACGACTTTGGAGTAAAGTACAGAATGTCATGTAGGACGATAAACGCACTCGGCACAGCCGTGGGCGCGGGTAGTTCTCTTCAAGCTGGTGGCTGATATCCAATTTGCATTATTACTTACCAGTCACCGCCCACAGTGCCAAATGAAACTTTTCAAAAAGTCGTAAGCTCAGCCCAGCTCCCCCATGGCCCCTTGGTTCCCCATATCTCTCGTCGGTGTGCCTGTTTGGAGCCGTTGAGTGACAGCAAAGGGCGGGCTTCATCGGTGTGTCTGAACGCAGAATTTCCGACACCACTTTCACAATGCCGTGAATATAGCGAGCCGAACACACTACCCGCGAATCCTATCAGCAGAAAGCCCTCGCGCTGCAAACGCCCGAGCGCTCGCGCACCACTTCGCTGGTTCAGTGCCTTTCGCATGCTCCTCAGTTGCTATTCCGAGCGGCGGAGCTTTGTAACTCCTTGTGTGCTATCTCGTTCATGACTCCCATGCAAATATGCCCACTCCGAGTCTCGGTCTGGCCCCCGCTGCGTGGAACTTGGCCCACATTATCATATTACTTCTCTAAATAGTCCCAACTCAAAATTATTGTTAGTGTTTCTTAGTTTAATGGACTGTTCCATATTTGCATGGGAATTTGAAGTGAGATAGCCGTTTTCAAGATTATGCCCTGCGGTTTGCAAATGTGTCCCTTCCAACCCTCAATCTGATAGAAGGGTGGATGCGACCCCCATACATAGTATATAAAACTGACAAGCTTCGATTTATGGAAAAGGTGACTTTTGACCTGTCATAATGGCATCAATTATTGGCCTAACAACAAAAAACGCATCACCAAACACGATATCTTGTTGGGACCGATTTACCGGTGTCTCCGCTGAGCTCCATCCTTCCTAGTTTGGAAATGGCATGGAGGTGGGTGGCATTGACCCAATTGTCAGTCCGTGTTATCAGAAACAGCGAATCCGGGCAAGGATTGCGTTATTGGATTCTCAGTCCCATACCCGTTATAGCAAGTATGACTGACCAAATGCCTGTATCATGTACTTCAAAAGGCTGTTCTTGGTCGAGGCTTATATTTTACCTGCTGAAGCGGCTGAGAGCTAATTTCTGTCCGTTGATGCGGTGATTCGTCCTGACTCGTAGTCCAGGCATGAACAAATCAATGGTCATATTTGCCTTAACCTTAAGACAGCATTGTCATTAAGGAGGCCATATTAGCGTGATGTCTCTATGTCGTCACCATGACGATGATGGCTTTATGACGCGCACATGTCACACTTGTTCCTACCCCAGAAGCGAGAGAATTTGAAGCCTTAAACACTCGCTGATTCGCCGTTGTTATAAAGCGAACTGATAGCGAGGGGTGGCGCGATCCCCTGCCGTTTCCAAACTATGAAAGATATAGGTTAGCGGAAAGTGCGATTGGATTGTTCTCAACCAGATTTGATCATTAGCAAAAGGTTCGATATTGCTAGATCAATAATTACCTCATTATGGCAGGTTAAAGGTAAAAAATTACACTTAAATCAAACTATTTTAGCCTTACATGTCCATATGTGCGAGAGCATACCTTATGCTGACACGAATTTAAAACAGTTGCGTTCCTTGTTTAAGTTGAGGACAAGAGTGTATGGTTTGTGTATCTTAAGCATATCTGTATGATGTATGGCCAGTGGCGGATCCAGAGGGGAGGGGGAACGTGACATGGCACCCCTTGGGCTCCGAAGGGGCCCATCGTCTCTGCAGGGGCTACGTCAAATGTCACTGCACTTCTACCTGACGCACGTGCGCTTGCAACAGGAAGTTCTCTACGCAATGCAATAACATCCTCATTACCACCGAACAGAACCTCAATATACCCAAAACTCCTGCATTAAATTAGCCATGGTTGGCGGAATGATTCTGTGCATGGGAAGATGGAACTAGCTTCCGCTTGAGGTGCCATGACTCCAGTCTTCTCGTTCCTTCGAACGGGAAATGTACCAGCGCTGCCGTGTGGCTGCGCCTCCAGTGTACCACAACTTTAGATCCAGGCTTAGTAACATCTTAAATACCGGGCTGAGAAAGAGAATTTCAGACCTTAATGCTCACATCTTCGAAGTTCAAAATCCAACAACCCCTAGCCCCTCCCGCCTGTGTGGTCATCCATGTGAAGACTCAAAACACTAAGGATTGAACTGTCCTCACTATCACGAAATCAGAATTTCAATGCTACGTAAAGCAGATGGCATCATTGTAAACTTGTGTGGGCTCCCTTACAACGAACTACTCAACGTCTAGCTTAGTGATAACGGTTTGAAAATTGTGCTGGGCAGCATATAGCAAAAATTTCCCAGCATTTTGTCTTCAAACCAAACGATTCGCTTAGGAACTTAGAGCGGGCGCGGGCAGCGGACGGGAGTCATCGGGCCGGGCGTCCGCCGCCGGCCGGAGACGGCTTCATGTGAACCGGAGCGGTGGTGGACGCCCGGCCTGTCTCAGCTTGCAGCTTGGACGAGTGGGCGGTGTGTCGTGTGCTCCCTGGTGACGATGAATATTTCTTGTTGTTGTTAGGAGAGACACCCAGACTCAAGCGATGCGGTTTTGCACCAATCCACCCATCAGATCAACTGTTTCATATCCATGATCGAAAATAAAAAACAAACAAACAAGCCGTCCATGACCGACCAAATGGCCGCAGTTTTTAACAAAAATCGAAATATAATTGGACATATTTGGGTGTTCAGGTGGCCAAGCACAATCGCTACCAGAAGTGAAAGCCCACAAGCAGACAAAATAATCATTCGCTAACGAGGGGGTTGGTGATTGGGCAAATTTTAAGGCTCGTTATGCTGTCCAGAGTACGTGCGATTTTCCCGGGCCTCATGTGTTCTCTTGCCGGGTCAATGTCACCGCTAAAGATCATTCCATGATGAATTCTGTATATTTGCATTTGTTCATTTGTTGCATATTTGCATTTGTTGCACGCTATTGCCGAGGACCCCATATGCTAACTTGCCTAAGTACTCTCAGGCTGCTCGGCGAGCGCCACATTGATCTCGGGTTCTTTCCATTTGCTCAGAGGGCCAGGCGCTGGGCTTTTATAAGTTGACGTACCTAGGTACTCGATGCTCAGGCGCCTTCTACAGTTGTTCAGGGCTCTTTCCCCCTGATTTAATATGCTGCGTACCCCACACTTTTTGGGGCTCCTTCTGTAACCTGCCCGCTCACTCTTGATCGCAAAGGGTGATTCAGTGGTCTTGGCCAATTCATATTGATATCACGAGTCAAGTAGTGGGAAACTATCTTCGAACTTGAAGTTAACGTGGTCACAACGACCCGTATTTAGCGTTTCAGATTGCGTTCCGGCCCTCAGGACATAGCTATAGAAGCTTAACTTGAAATGCCCGCAAATCGCTTCGGATGGAAATGCTCGAACGAGTCATGCTGGATATTTTTTTATTTCGTACTTTTCAGGTGGTGTTTGAAATGAAAATGGCACCAACTATCAAACAGAAAACATCATTCGATGACAGTCGCAAAACGGAAAGGCCTACCATCAGTGCGCATCGTGTCTGTACATCGGTTGACATTCTTGGGGCATCCAAGGCCAGCACACCTCACATGAACATGACTTCGCAAGACGCGGTTTATACCCACATCACGCACGTCATTTAGCCAGACATTGGTAGCTTCAATAAGGTAGATTTATAACGCCGTCACGGTTCAGGACCAGCTTGGCGTCGGAAAGCACATCTTCTTCTGAATTCACATATCTTTCCTGTCATCCTCTTCACGCAAGCTTCCACATCCTTGCATACCACGCAGCACATATTTACTACAGTCACTGTCTAGATCATGACCCTGGACCACCGCGCCTCATCCTCGCCCCTGTTCGGGCGGACCCCGCCGTCTGTATGGTGGGGTTTCCTGGGTGGTTGGCGTGAGGCACGTGGGCAGGGCAGCTGCCGCGCTACTCAATACGCGCCTCTTTGATCACATAGCTCCGAGATGGCGCGCCCAGACCGAAAGACCTGTAACTCGAACAAAACAACACAAAAATGCATCCATTCCGAAACGCCGTTTGGCGATGGCAGTCCAGGATCCAGCTGATGATCGGCTAGGGCCCCGATAGGCAACCTGGCCCGAGTGTCTGCCCGGCGACTGGACAGTGAGACATCCCGCAGATTTCTTAGGTGACAGATATTGGGAGAGGCCTTTTAGATCAACGGTCGTTCACGTGCTATGATCTAGATGCAGACGTATGGGCACATGTTACCGAACGGTGGATCTGTCCGCGCCATTGAGTGCAGCTGAATCGGCCCTGTTCACCAGCCACAGCCCAGCAGCACCGGCCGAGGCCGGCGCGGCAGATGCGCCATCTTCAGAGGTCGCTTCGGGGCTTCTCCGAGGCGGTGCACTGGCCGCATCAAAGGGGCGCCCTTCGCGACGAGCCCAGAGCGTCCGCGGCGGCGACGCCGGGTCGCCGTCGCTGCGAACCCGTCGTCTGCTGTCGGTGCCGGCGGCTCCCTCGCGGCGCCCCGGAGCCTGCCGTGGCCCGGTCCGCCCGCTACAGCCGTTCCTGCGGCGACACGGTGCCGCCCACCCGGAAGAGGCCGACGTTGAATTGGGGCAGCGGCTCGGGCACGGGCATGCCAGCACCCGGCACCTTGGGCAGCGGGTACTCGGTGGGCGGCGGCGTGGGCAGCACCTGTTGTAGCGCGTCCGGGTTCAGGATCTCGAACCCGTTCTCGTCGGCCACGTACAACAGCGTGATGGGAGTGCCGTCGTCCAAGACGTATTCGATGACGCCCTCCTTGACGTAGGTCCCTGATTCGGGCAGCGTGCCCGGGAAAGATGTGCCCGTCTCCTTCTGCACGATCCCGTTGTCTGTCCGGAATCTGAGTAAGAAGCATAAAACGTCACATCGGTGGGGAAAAGACGAGAGGGTGTTTTGCAGTGCGTTCGACTTCAAGACACTCTTAGTTCTAAAATAGAGTAAAACGCAGTGGTACCAGCTGTCAGAACATAGCTGATTCATTACCAAACAATGTACTGAAACGGCGTTCAACGGCGTTTGACGTGTTCACGTGGACCCAATGAATGAATTCGAAACAGCAATCCGCATATGGAGAACTCCCAAAATAAGCAAGCATAATAACTTAGCGCGTAAACGTAAGCCAGGGACCTTTGGAAGTGCTCTCACGAATTTACCTGCGGGAAGAAGCGGGCACCAATTTAGTATGGGATGATGCTAATAATATCTTACTGCATGGCACGTGGCCAACACCGGTGATCACATTGCCGCGGTGCACGCGCACTTACGATAGGCTGTAGCTGCCATCCTCCGTCTTGACCGTCTGCTGCTGCAGGATCTGCGCGTTGGCTGCCTCTGCTCGGCGTCGATGGAGGATCTCAGGGTCTGGCCGCCGGGGTACCGCCGCCGCCGCGGCCCACGCCAGCAGGAAGCAGGTCAGGCAGCGCATCTGCAGCGACGCACGGCGTCAACGCCTGTACTCAGCACCTCACCGGCTGCTGAGTGTGCAGTTGGTGACAAGTTGCCGCTTCGCATGATTGCAGAGCGCCTCCATGCCACTGTCGCCACCGACCTAAGCGGCTTGGTGTCAACAGGAGCGTTACTTTAGGTGCTTTCAAGGAGGCTCGAGACCCTCTTCTGGTGCTCTTCTAAGCCTTTTATCTCTCCTCCCCCCCCCATGAATATGCGTAAAAAAGAAATATTGGCACGAGAAATGCCGAAAAGCACCAGTAGACATCGCTATTCATTTCACGCAACCCTGCGCCACAATAATTATGTGCGTACCTAATGCCGTACGCCTTTGTGATGCTAACTCCTTTACATGTTTGACATGCCTGCAGATATTGTCGGGTTTTTCGCCCGGATCGACAGGCGGTCAAGTCGGAAGGTTGTGATGACATGTACTGAGGAAAGGCATGGAAAGACGATTGCCAGCGGATGTCAGTGTTCACTACAACGACTAGAAAACTTCTTTGAAACAATGTAACTGAACGATGCTGCTTGAAAGACGTGTAAAGCTGCTCAAAAGCTCGGGGTCGAAGCGTCAAAGTCCAAAGGCGACGTTTGTCTGTTTAGCCTCCGGCGAAAATTACGGCCATGCGTCAACTTCAATATCCTCGATCCGTGGTTGTCTTTTGCTGGTGGTCAAATTTCTACTGCAGAGTTGATATTTTTTGCACTGCTCTTCACTGCCGCTAGTCGGCCTACCGCATGTTCTCCTGGTGATGTGTACGCTTTGTCATCGTACGTCTCCATATTCAATAAGTCTATCACGTGTTCAATAAGTCAGTCACGAGCGTCTGGTTCGTTTTGCCTTCATAAAATACCCCCATCGGAGGGCACAAGAAGTGCGTGTTTTCCTTTCATTCGATGGACACATGTGCGGGAACTTTATTCCCAGCTGGACAAGTTGGGGTTTGCAGGCTGATCAAGCTGGCATGAGCTGGAAAGGGAATGTTCCACATTTAAAGGTATAGAGGAAGCATCAAATATAATGAAATAAGCTCATTTGTGATAATCGGTATCCTTTTAAGTGGAAAAGACTGTTCTAGATGACACGGTTTCTCTAAGTAATAAATACGCCCCTTAATATGTCATTGTTTGATCACGACATTGTTCCTTGCACAGCATTGATGGAGAGCCAATTGACGGCCGCTATATATTGAAATAATGCCCACGAACGCCAGATATGAACGACTCGACAAGCGTATTTTTTGGCCTTGATGTCTGCATCGTCAATGGAATGGCAGGATTTTAATTACCTTTTTATGGAGTCATTGATGCCTGAGCGACCTCGAAATAATCTCCCCGAAGCGGCCTGTACACCTTCGCGGGTGGGTAGACACCAAATAGCATACTAGAAAGCATAGACATTACAGGGGCTTAGGTCTTAAGAAGCACTGCACCGAATGTCTTCAAGATGGATGCTTAAGTTACCTCATACACATGTGGAACACTACCTTTGAACCAGGACCACTAAACCACGCTACCACGCTTAAAAGAACGTGCAAAACACTCGAGGGTACAGTGTCATTTATCTATTTGTACGCCTTGTCGGGGCGGGGCAATGTAACTTGCCAGAACAGTGGAAAATCTAAAGCATGTTCTAACTCTTAAAACCTAACCAATAGTTAGAAGCGCGTTTACTTCATGATATCTGATGCCTTAACACCCTTAAATGCGGAATTTTTCATTTAATCATGACCTCCTGGTACACTGAAGGTCCTGGTACAATGCAGGATCCTCAGCGAGCTCCCAATCCATTATGCAGAAATCCCCTTGTGGACGTAGTCCCTTTACGGAAAACGCATTTTACTCTTCTCTGATATGTCAGTATGAGACCACACCACTCTACATAACACCGTCTTGTTTGTGCCTCGGACCACCTTCATGAACGATAAGGGAGGCCTATTTTTGGTGCTTATATTAGGCCGTCTTACTAAGATGTTTTCTGTGAATGAAAAAATGACGGCGGGCACTGGAAATGTTTTGAGAAGAAGGTACTGCTTGTAAATTATACACAATACAAAGCTTTCGCACAAAATCGCAGCTCCGCATTGGCTTAAAATGAGAGGTTAGTCCCTGGTAGGAAAGTTTTATGAAAACATTTCAGGAGTAAAATTACTTCTTGAAATCATGGGCGCTAATCCAAGTGGCTGGAATCAGGAGATAAATCAAGTTTTGGGGTTGGTTAGGCTAATCGCAGCGGTCAAGACCCCCTCCCCCTCCCCCCCCCATACACCGAGTTTAGAATGTGACACTCTTAAGTATCATAACGTCGCCGTCGTGAATGTATTGACAGAGAAACACCAAAATGTGTCCACAGATGTGTACTGCGACGTCTGGGTGGTATATTCACTATTCTCAGGCGCATATCTGCCGCTCGCTCCAAGCATTAAATGCAAAGGCGTTTGGGCCATGGTGACGCAAAGAAAATAATATATTCAAGCATGTGAATAAATTATAGAATGCATAGGATATGATGCACATCTTATTCGTCTCAGGGATCTCTTGGCACCCGACGAAGATCCCCGAAACGTCTGGCTGTAACTGGATGACCGATAAACCGCCCACTGTTGCCTTCGAGTAAGCTACAGCACATACAAATTCATCACCGCAGAAACCAAGAACGACATGTCGAGGCTTCATAGATGTTAATCTGTCGTTATGCAAATTAGGTACGTTAAGCCCTTAAATCCGTTTACCATGCAATCCTGTCTGTCCATGGGCGGGTACGGTGGCTGCCCAGACAGCTGTCATGTATCGTACCTTTTAAACCCCTCCCGGTCCAAGTCTGTCGCCATAAACCCATCTGCATCCCGTTGATCAGTAATTGCAGGCTCATGTGCCATTCGTCGGTCAGTTACAGTAAGACTTCGTCAGGCAGGTCTGTGGGTCAGTCGTAGAAGACCCAACTACGGAGCGTAGGTCAGTCCATGCATACCCCTGTCTGGTCTGCGAACCCGCCCCTGGAGACCCATCTCTGGTTCGTGGATCTGTCCCGTAGACCCACGTCTTGTCTGCGGGTCATTCACAGTATATCAATTTCTGGCCGTGCAGAAGCATCTCCAGGACACAGGTCAGTCCCCGCAGACGCATCTCTGCCTGGTAGACCAGTCCGCGAGACGCACCTCCGAACGTTGGGTCAGTCCGCGAGACGCACCTCCGAGCGGTAGGTCAGTCCGCGAGACGCATCTCTGACCGGTGGGTCAATCCGCGAGACGCACCTCCGAGCGGTGGGTCAGTCCGCGAGACGCATCTCTGACCGGTGGGTCAGTCCGCGAAACGTCTCTCTGACCGGTGGATCAGTCCGCGAGACGCATCTCCGAACGGTGGGTCAGTCCGCGAGACGCCTCTCTGGCCGGCGGGTCAGTCCGCGAGACGCCTCTCTGGCCGGCGGGTCAGTCCGCGAGACGCCTCTCTGGCCGGCGGGTCAGTCCGCGAGACGCCTCTCTGGCCGGCGGGTCAGTCCGCGCGAGTCTCATCTCCGACCGGTGGGTCAGTCCGCGAAACGTCTCTCTGACCGGTGGATCAGTCCGCGAGACGCATCTCCGAACGGTGGGTCAGTCCGCGAGACGCCTCTCTGGCCGGCGGGTCAGTCCGCGAGACGCCTCTCTGACCGGCGGGTCAGTCCGCGAGACGCCTCTCTGACCGACGGTTCAGTCCGCGAGACGCCTCTCTGGCCGGCGGCCCCTCTCTGGCCGGCGGGTCAGTCCGCGAGACGCCTCTCTGGCCGGCGGGTCAGTCCGCGCGAGTCTCATCTCCGACCGGTGGGTCAGTCCGCGAAACGTCTCTCTGACCGGTGGATCAGTCCGCGAGACGCATCTCCGAACGGTGGGTCAGTCCGCGAGACGCCTCTCTGGCCGGCGGGTCAGTCCGCGAGACGCCTCTCTGACCGGCGGGTCAGTCCGCGAGACGCCTCTCTGACCGACGGTTCAGTCCCCGCAGACGCCTCTCCGACCCATGCGGCATACCGCGGTACTCACCGTCTCACTGTCGGCTCGTGCTGGCGTCACCGGCTTCGCCGAGGGAGTCCGGCCGGAGGCGAGCGACCGGCGCCCTTATAAAGGCTCGGCCCGATGCCCTCGCGCCGGACGCGGCCGCCCGCGGCGCGTGACCAGCGGGTGGCCAAGGTTGCCGGCCGGCGCGGCCCATCGCCGCCAGACTGCACGCTCGGGAGAAAGGAGTCCCGTGTCGGCGCCGACCGGCCCGCCAGCTGCAGCTGCACCATCTGCGGTATGGTCGACGCGTGCGACGCGCACCACCGTTTGCAACCATTGTCAAGTAGGTCAAGTGGGAAGCGCCAGCCAAGGCCCCTGAAGGTCGCTCAGGCTGCAAGCTGCGTCGGCATGTACTATTTAACAAGGATTGCAAAACTTGAATCAAGTCGTAGAGATCGCTGCGAGGGCCATGGCTTAATATAACTTGCATGAGCTCAAACAGAACGACCACTCACAGCACGCAGCTGAGTTCGTCCCACATGCACTGGCGCTACTCGAGGCAGAGTGTCTGGCACCGGATCAAGTAACGATGCGCCGATGTAAGTGCAATAAGAGTTATGATGTGTGCCAGCCGTCAGACGTACGTCATGCTTACAGCAGTTTCATATCTATCTGTTGATTGTTGTTCCAGACCCGGACAATGCGCGTTAAGTTTGTGTCACGCTTTCGAAGTTAAAGCCAAGCATTGTCCGCTGCAAAGCCTGAGGGAAAAGTCCAAGCCAAGGATGATAATTTTGGGGATATCAGTTGCCAATGTTCAGTGTCACTGCGTGTTTACCTTGCCACTACAATAAAAATACGTGGCATGGCAGCATGTTATTAAGCCATCCTAAAGCTTAAAAAACAAAAGATGGACACATGAAGCTTCCGAAAAATAGGGTGTGCGAATTCGATGTCACGAAGCGCAAACATCTGCAACGAGGCGGAAGATTTGTATTTTGATGAATCTACCCTCATGCCACATGATTGGCTTAACAAGCCTTTGCGGGCCTGTTTCGCTAGGTGACGGAGCTTCTACGGATGATTTGTGCTTGCATTATTTCGGGATGCATTAAGCACCATTTATGGGATTCTCGGGCCCACCTGACCTTAGGCTGCCGGATGCCTGACAGGAGCCGGGTGTGATGTGCTGACCACCAGGGACGTACGTGGGCCATGGGAAACGAACTTTATCCGTAAGCCAGTTTTTCGAGCAGCGCCATGGATTGAGTCGTTTGCAACCTTGACGGAGATCGATGGGTAGCGGCCCTTCGAAAACCCTATAGGGGATAGCATTGATTTGAATGTGAAATAAAAGTTACCATAGCGCTTGCCGATTTTGCGCCACCTTGTCATGCGTCAAAGCTGATGAGGCACAGCAAAGCAGTGGAAAATAAATGATTTTGATACACCATTTAAGGCACTCTCCTGTAATGAGTTCACGCTTTGCTTACTAAGAAACTATCAACGATTGCCCAGCTTTCAAATCTTGCTCTCCAAACTTCCGCGGCTGTTGGGGCATTGGGGCGCGGCTGTTGCACATTCCAACAGTTTAAGAAAGCCGCCTTTGCTAGCGCTGCAAATGCAAGGTGTTACTGAGTTCGCCGCTGTCACTTGTCAATGCTGCTGCAATATTTCTGTGTCGCTAAGACTCTTAAGTGACTCCAAAACATACCTAGCCCAGCCCATTGGGAGGGCTATTTTGCTGTAGCAGTGAGCTTCGCTGAAAAGTGATTGTATTTCTTGGGGCTTCGTATCGCAGCCGCTGCATACTATTGTTCACTCGTTGGGTGGTTTCTCTGACATTTCGCAAAGCAAGGAGTGCGGGTAATGCGTTTGATGGGCACTATGTTTCACCTTTGTCGCCGCAACAAAACATGAATAAATGAATAAATGACGGCTGTCGGATGCCGGCAACATACGGCGCGCGTGCATTTCGTCGTTTTTCTTGAGTTTCTCACCAGCGGTGACTGAGCGATCGGCCGGCGGTATTTGATGACGCAAAAATATGGAATTGCACCCTTTTCGTAAGACTGATGCATGGACGGCGCAATGCACAGAATATAAAAAATGGGCGGTTAATATAGAACCTGAATCGGTGCATGTGGCATATACATTTCGCCACGATCTCGGATACAGTTTCGACAAACCGTGTTGTATCCGGCGCTGTTTTTTAATGTCGATATTCCCGGTTTACCCGATGATTATTGACACAACCGTGCAGCGCACAGGCTCGTCTTGGCCCCATGCATTCCAGACGATACACCGGTCGGCGCTTTGAAATCGGGTTTGCACATTAACCCGCTCTGGCTGCCGAGCGATGGTGGTATGAAACGTGAAAAAAACGTACAAAATAGCAAACTCCATCTTGGACACCTCAGTGCACGTGACATGTGGCACAAGTTTCTCGAAATCTGGTAGCACACGATTCTCCGTTCAATTATTACCTGTGCATACCAATGGTGACATCTCCGACACCCGGTTGCCGAGATGAGGCCCCAATCGCGAACGGCTGCTCGTCGGCCTTGTCGTTGGTCACATTGTCGTGCCGCCCGTGCAAAACCAATGAATCTAAAACGCTCCTTCTGGCACGTCCCAGAGCTAAGCCCCGGATCGAAGCGGATCGCGATCTGTCCGTGGAAAGCTGCCTGGTGCGCCTGTGCGTCGTTCAGATTTCATCGTGCAGCGAGCCGTCGTTTGACCCGTGAACGAAGCTAGGCAAAAACGGGACAGACAGACAGACGCACCCTAAGGAAATACTATTTAGCCAAGCTTTGACATGCTTGCGTCGCTACATTCTTTGTTAAAGGCAGACGTATGATTTTTTATGCTTTGCAGTTGGATTCACGTCTCTAGGTGCTCCGGGTGCGGAGATGTAACACAAAACGCGAAACACGGTCGCAATGGCAAAACACGTGTTGCTGGCTTGTTCCCACGTGACAGGTGAGGCGTGCGACCACAAAGTTCGCACTGCGGGATTGTCCGTTCGATTCCCTATCAGAGCATGTCACTTCCGACTGACTCCGCGTCTTGGGTGCCGAGATGGGGCACAAAACGTGAAACCCGATGAAAATAAGAAATTCTATTTTTCAGATCGTGTCAGTGTAAAACGCGGCCCGCGCGACCATGCACATGACACCATATGACTCGCTGTTGGGTTCCCCACCGCAGCACTACAATCTCGAGTCACTCCGTGCCCTGGGTGACGAGATATGACGCAAAACGTACAGAGAAATGGCAAAAATGTCGAAATCTGTATTGCCAGCTCGTGCGTGCTAAATCGTGGCGCGTGCAACCGAGCGCTTTACACCACACACTTGCCAGTTCAATTACTCATCGAATCGCGTCCCCTCTCAGTGGCTCCGACACGCCGTTATCGACTTACATGTCTGGGATGGCGCTCTATGCTGGCTGGCCGTCGATCGGTCGCAGACTTCCTTCGCCTGTGTTATGTCTACGGCTGACGGTGCTCCCCTAAATGCCCAAACTTTCCGGACGATTTACATTGCAACTGTGTGTGTATTAAGTGGTGGTATAGACTGATATTGCTGACGGTACATTAGTGGACGCCTTCAACTTGGATTCACGCCTTTAGCCGCACTGGGTGTCAAGATCTGGCACGACACGTGAAAAAGCAAACATAGCTGAATCGAACCTGCCAGCTCTTGGGTCCATGACACGTGGCACGTGGGTCTGCAGACTTACCGCCACGCGATTTCCCGTCTCCACCGAAGCGTGCGACTCCCGGGTCGGTCCGACACGTGCTTGCCGAGATATCGGCTCGTGGTCGTGAGCAAAGGGGCCGCGTGAAGTAATTGGTCGCCACCGCGGCCCGTCGGCTATGCAACGACATGGCGGCGGCGGCCTACCACAGACGTGCGTGCGCAGTCAGCCACTTGACTTACAGGGAATGCTCCACACTACAGACGCGCGCGCGCAGTCAGCCATTTGCTTATAGGGAATGGCTCACTTTTGAAGATATCGAAACAAACATAAGAAATTATAAAATATAGTATAAGTGGAAAAGGGTGCTCTAGAAAACACAATTTTTTCCATGTGGAACAATTGCCCCTTAATACATCATTGCTTGATTGATGATTGCAATACATCATTGCATCATTGCTCGATTGCGTCATCGTGCCTTGCACAACATTGATTGAGAGCCAATTGACAGCCGTTTTATCTGGAAATCGTGCTCATTAACGCCAGATACGAGGGACTCGACAGCTGATTTTTTTCTTGGCCTTGATCGTCGCATAGCCAATGGAATCCCAGGATTTGAATGACGTTATCATAGCGTCACGGATGCCTCAGTTACCTTGAAATAGTCTGCACGAAATGGCCTGCATATCTTAGCGGATGCGTACCTCAGAAACTCGAGGAGTTTTAGGTCTTAAGAAGGACAGGGCTGTGAACTGCACCGAATGATTTCCAAGATGGCTAGTTCAGTTTAAACGTATGTCCAAATGTCCAATACTGCTTTTAAAAAGCTGGTCGGTGGCAGTCGGGAGATCACCATTTCGACCGCGCGTAAAAAGACACGTAAAAAGACATAACACGGCTCTTTGCCTAAACGTGATTTATGTGCATCATGGGCCAAAACAAGAAAGTTTTCGAAAGTTGTTGAGATATGGCTCTGGGATGCACGCGTGTCCGGCCGTCCGCTGATTGGCGGGGGAGGGGGGCAAATTTGCGTCGGACGTCTTAATCCAATGGGATTTTACAAATTAATTTCGTTCGCCATGCGCTCACAGTGTAAAATACAGAGTCGTCACGTAACACTGACAACCGTCGCCGGTGGTCCCGGGTCGTATGAAAATGTCGCACAAAAGCCCGCCGCCATTTGGCCTGGATGGCAAAAACACGCTGATGGCGGAAAAACACCCACCCACACATGTCTTTATTAAGTATAGAAGAAGACTAGCTTTGACGATGTTTGTGCATTACAGGTCTGATAAAGTCACCTTAACAACGTAACGTTGTTGGCTGGTCAGTAAATCAAATCTGCTCAAACGTAAGTCAAACAGGTTTCGGGAAAAACAGCTGGACTACTCAGGTAGCCTAC